AAGCAGAATTAACTGGATGCTCTCACGGACCATTTGATCACATCATGACTATGGACCGACTTACAGTAATTTGTTTCCCCTGTACAAAACAAAAATCAGAACTGAAATGTGCATGTGGTCACAATTCTCAAGGTCCAAAGGGTAAACACAGAGCTACCTAACAGTGAAGCGTGCACGGAGAACTGTTCTACTTACTGTCCTCTAATGTCTTTTTCTATAAAGTAATTTGGTTTAAAACTGCATCCCCATAAATGCTGCTCAGACAATGTTCTGAAACACAGATTTGAAGGTCATTTCTATTTGACAGCACTGAAGACCCCGTACTTCCATATACCTTGACTATCAGCAATGGAATGACTCACTTTTAAGGGTAGGGATGTACGTATGCACATTAGGTGGCCATGACACGGAAGATGCTCATTCCTTCATGAATAGAATTTAATAACTTACATCACTGAGAGCAAGAGACATTCCTAGTTTTATGAATATAATAAGAAAGCATCAATGACAATTCCTAAAATGCAATTTCCTGGCAAAATATCTTTTAAATTGGTAGGACAGTACGAAGCACTACTTTTTTTTTTTTTTAAAAAAAAAAAAAAAAAGGAACAGGTAAAGAAGTAAAGAAGTTGAAGCTTATGTCTTATGCTGCTGTCTCTGTGAAGAACAGGATCTAGATGAAGGATTTTTCTAACCAGCCTGTTCTAAAAACAACATGGAAACAAATTGTATCTGAAAACGCCTGTGATTTCTTTCATGATTTACAAACAGGTGAATAACACAGAAGAGATGCAGAAGTCCACAGGCAAGAACTTATTTTCTTTTGTTAATAATATTTAAAAACAAACCTAACCAGAAAATGGACGCACCATTTTTAAGTCAGTGGGAGGGAAAGAAGGAGAGAGAGAGAGCTCCCCAAAGAAAATACAAGCAAACTCTCTACACGTCCTTCTTGAAAAAAATAGTTTTATGGTGATAGAGCCATTATCAATGGCCAGAAGAGATGTGGTACGGACAAATGACAGAAGTATAAGAGCGATGCCAGCAGTCCCGTCTGGGACCGTTCCAGCAGTGCCTACACATCACAACACTTCAGTTCTGCTAGAGATGAAATGAAAACAGAGAAATTCATATAACAGAGAAAGAGAAGACACCAAGAAATAAACATGCTAAAGGACTGCTGACATTTTACCTGCAAGAGAACAGACATGACTGGGTCACTGACCTCCCGCTACTCACAGTTCCCTCCTCCGTCTCTTCGCATATGGTGAAGAGTTCTCTCTACTTTTCCATTAATGGAGAATTAAGTAATATTGTGCTAGTTTCCTCTTAAAGCCATTTCAAATTGGTGCCATTGTAAAGGGAATTTTCATATATCAATTTTTTAATAAAGCTTCTTTCCATCACTATGTTCTTTTTCCAGGCTGAGTTCAGCACCATGCATTTACCCCCTCACACACCTGAGTAACAGGGGCAAATCCCACAAACAAAGGAAAGGAAAAGCAAAATGCCTGGAATACAGCACAGATTCCTTGTGGTAAGCTCCAGTTGCTAAGATTAGCTGGTCCCATTTCCAAATCACGAATGCAACTGTCAATAGAGATAAAAATTAAAACTACCATCAAACACATGCAACACACCTAGTCCAGCTGTTTGGTTCCTTTCCCATCATCTCAAGACATGACCTGACTAACACTCAGAGATCAAATACACCATCTGTCTCTGCAGGCATCTCTCCACCTAGAACTCACAGAATCACAGAACAGCACTGGGAAGGACCTTAAAGATCCTCTAATCCCAACCCCCTGCCACAGGCATGCACACCAGCAGAACATCATACACATAATAAACAACATCGAATTATTAGCATGTCAGAGAACAAGTCAGGTATAAAAACAGTTAAACTAAAAACATACTGACTTCACATGAAAAAAAGGATGTCTAAAATTAATGTAGATTATAAACCACAAAGCAATCAACCTGATACTCCACACTCATTTCAAGCACTTCAAGAAGACTGAAAACCTCCAAAAACTCAAGCGCAGTCACGTGGCAGAAACTTCACTTTCGCCACTTGCTGAGTTAAGCTTGCAACAGAAACCCAAAACAAAATACCTAAAACCAGTGCAGATGCCCACCTGTTTTACCCTGCTTATTCTTTTTAATACATTATAGGACTACTTCTAGAACTAGTCATAAAACAGTCTTTAAAAGATGCAAGGCCTACAGCACAAAACATCTTCGTTCCCCTCAATCCAGCAGCAGTCAGGTGGCTATTGCACTAACACCACATCAGCTCTTCTGTGCTAGGGGAGCTCCTAACCCCCTGCACCCAAAAATTCACCTTGTGCTATAAACATCCACTCTCACAAGAAACAACACATGGAACATCTAAGGCCTAGAACAGATGAAAAACATACAGCCACTAGAACAAAAACATACATCCACTAACAAAAAAAAGAAATCCAAAAGCTCCGCAAAACCAAAACAGCCCTACCTCTACACTGCACCAGTGACAAGTACCAATACACCGTTTGTCACTGCATTCAACAGTTTATGGTCGCCAAAGAGCTACGTATTAGATGTTAAAAAAAAAAAAAAGAAAAAAGAATAAAATCACTTTTAAAAAAGCAGTTTAAGCTTAAGAAGATTAACAGTTCTTAGGGCTGTATGTGTATTCTATCATATGTAAATGCACAAACATACAAGTTCCTATCAATTCAATATCAATTCCAATACATTCAAAGACAACTCCTCACAGCAGTAACACAGATGTGTGAGGTTTTGACATAAACCTGTATTGGTCCACAATGGCGCAGTGACACCCACCAGAATATTCCAAGTTTTAGTTCACTGACGGGAGAAATAAACTAATACAGCACATTAAAAACTAAGAGTTTTCAGAACTCCCTGGGGTAAAACTGGCATTATTCTACCTACTGCTCAAGTAGGGAAGTTGGAAAAAATAAGTAAACAAATACGAGCTGAAAGCACTGAGACTGACGGAGGTGAGGACAGAAACTACAACTTGTGGCTGCCAGCCTTCTGCTTCCACCGCTGCTCGGTGTGATTCTGACTTGAAAACCACATCTCGCCTCTTTGTAATCAACCACTTCCACCAGTTCCCCTTTGGGGAAAAGAGATGCGTGGTGAGGGTACGATTACACCAAAGAACAGGATGCCCTTCGTAGATTCACTGCACCCACGAGCTGAAGCTAACAACTGTAGGAACCTCACTTTGCCAAGACCCACATCTCAACAGGAATGCCAAGGGTGCTGGTTTCACCCGGAGTGCTGGCAGGCAGCAGAGACAGCTCAGCAGCATTTGCAAGATAACAACACCGTTCATGTGACACTTCCAAATGCAGCCACTAGAAACCGTTGCTCCTACATTTCACCTCACAACCCCTCTCCAACATCTCAAGTTAAAAATCTGAAGAGTAAAATTGGCAACAGACAGAGGGCTCTGACAGTGCTTCCATGAAAGCAGGAGGAACTGCTCTGACTTGAAGCAGGAGTCCTGCTAAGGCACAGCTGCAAGCAGGAGAGCAAAAAGTTGAAGAGGCCAGCAAGAAACACTACTTTGGAAAGGCCGAAATAAGGTATTATTTCCATTAGTGCTCTGTAAAACTTGTTACAGACAGCTTCAGGCACTGGCAGATCCTTGGAAGGATCCATTCTTTCCATCAGACATTAGAATTTACAGCAGTCAACACGATGTGCTCCAAACACATGTATTCTAACAGTATGATTTTACTTGATTTTTTTTTTTTTTAATAATTATTATCACGGTATCAGATGGCTAACATCCTCTACAGATTACATTTTCACAAAAAATTCCTGTGAGCCAATGTATTTTCCAAGCCTTTCATACCTTCTGTATAACACAACACTTTGTGTATGGAGATTCTGCAGAAGTACCTTTATTACTACTTCTTCCTTAGCTAGAATGTATTAATTACAGACCATTCCTCTAAATAAGAAGAAAGCAAAAAGCAATGCACTATGAACAGCAAAGAAACGTAATTACAGAGTCAGATGTCCTTTAGATGTCACTATGACTCCATTAAGGAGCAGGCACACAACACACACACGCCTCGTGTTGTCAGATCAGTTATCAAAACAACGTCTTTCCTCCGTGACTTCATTACACACAACCCAAACAGCTCATTCATCAAATGCCTGCTATGTTGGGAAAATGGGCTTTTTAAGAAAATGGTGCCTTCCAGATGCAGTTATTACAAACCAGACGCGAGAAATAGTTCTGAAAGGAAACAGAAGTACAGCAAGACTTGAAGTTTGAAGGTCACATCCAATAAGGGTTAGCATCAAGCCTCTTATGGCAGACTGCTACTTCTCTTTGCCAGCTATACGTAGAAGGAGGAAAAAGAACCAAAAGGAAAAAATAAAGGCAGCCAGTTCTGTGACAACTTCAGAAGAACTGGACTGCCGTCATTCAACCGCTCTCATTGAAAACTTATAAATACAGTGATGTTGCACTAAAACTAAGGAAGAGAATGGAATGGAGGATGGGGAGGACACCATTTCATTCTGATTTTCAACTTCATCTCCTAAAGTCAGCAATGATGCTACGTTAAAGAAAACGAAGTATTTATCCCCATTTTCACTCCAGACAACAGACCGAGGATTGCCTACTGAGCTGTTGGTCTCCAAATACCACAGAATTGGTCCCTCATCCTTCTCTATTCCCACTACCTTCAGGACACAAACCCCAACACCTGGGTATATACACTTCATGGACCAGAATCTGAACCATGCCAAAAACATAAAGTCCATTTTACACACACACCTCAAAAACAAATAACCAATAGGAACCTCTTGTCAGGACCACCAGCACCACGTTCAAGTGCAGTTCAGCTGACAACATTTCACAGGAACACACCGTTAGACTCAGTCCCCTCTCACCCATCAATGCCAAAGACAAAGCAGACACCAACACGGGCACACGCACCCAAAACAAACCACCTATTCCAACTTACCCCATTCCAGATACTCGAGGATGTTCTTCTCTCTTCTCAGCGGGGAGTTATTGCACTCATCGTACAGGCAGATGAGGATATCCAGCAAGGTCTCCACGCTGAAGCACTGCCCGTTGCTTTGGGTCGGCCCATCCAGAATGAACTGCTCCAGCTGCTTCAGGCGCACTTCTCCAGACATGGCTGTTTCGCTTTGCATTGGGGGGTCTTTTTTAAGTATACTTCATCCAAAAAAAGAAAAAAAAAAGGAAACGTCAACCGGATTTTTAATAAAATTGTGGTTGTGCTTCATTTTTAGGTCCCTTCAGCATTCCCAGCTTGAAAGTGAAGCCCAGCAAGTTTCAGACACGGATGCATAGAGCGCGTGTCTGCGTGCATCGTTGTTAAGAAGAGAAAAACCACTTAATATGGTTAGCGATGAAAAATATCTATCTGTTTCTGACACGTCAATGGTAACAGCTACCCTGAAATTCAACCACGGCTGCGTAGAGCCGATTTCACCACCCCAGCCGCCTCAGACTGAGCCGTTTGCACGCTGAGGCAGCTCTCCCCCTCCATCCAGCATTCGGGTCACGCAGGACGAGCCCGAGCGGGGTCCGACCGCATCCCTACGGCTTCGGATCCCCCGTGCAGCCCTCAGCCAGGCCTGCTGAAGGCACAGCCCCGTCCCGCGGAGCCTCGCCCTTCCTCCGCCTGCCCCCGCTGCTTACCGGGTGTCCTCCCGAGGCCTCTCAGCGCTTGAGGGCAGCCGACGGCTTCATCGCCCCCCGCTCCTCCGATGCAGCGCCAAGGGGCGGCCCCGGCACGGCGCAGGGGAGCGCTGGGCGCCCTGTCAAAGCCTCCCCATGGCCGCGGCGCCACCGCCGCCGTCCTCCCTCCCTCCCTCCCTCCCTCTCCCTGCTCTCCGCGGCTGCTGCTGCTGCTGCTGCGCGTCCCGCTGAGGCCCCGGCAGCGGCTTCACTCCCGGCGGGGCGGCGCTGCCCCGGCCTCGCTCCCCCAGGCCAAGGGCATCGTTCCCCGGGGCGGGCGTCCCCCCCTCAGCCCGGCGCCCTCCCCTCAGCCCGGCCCGGCCTCGCTCACACGCAGCAGCCGCCGCCGAGCTCGCGGCAGCCCAACATGGCGGCGCGGCTGGGGAGGGGGGAGCCGCCGCCGAGCGCCGCCGCAGCGCGGGGAGCCGAGCCCGGGAGCCGCCGCTACTGCTGGGATTGAGGGGAGGAGGCTGCCGGGGGCGGGGGGGCTGCAGCAGGGAATGCAGGGAGACGGGCGGGACCGGGACCGGCCCCGGGGAGGGGAGGCTCAGGGCAGCGCGGCCCCGCCTCGGCCCCGGCCCCGGCCCCGGCTCCGGCTCCGGCTCCACACGGGGCTCGCCCCTCGCCTCGGGACGGCGGGGCGCGGGCAGGCGCTGAGGCGGGGCTCCCTCGGCCGCCTCGTGTGCTGTGGAGAAGGAAAATGGATGGGCTGTGTGTGCTTCAGGGAGGAGCAGCGCGCTGCCTGGTTGGTAAGCACGGGAATGACAGCCAAGGGCTTGGACAACGTCTTGTGGAAGGAAGAAACTCTCCTAGCAACTCATGATGAATGAAAAAATGTGCAGAGAATTTGACTCCAAAAGCTTTCTACACAGAAACCCCCCACAAAATGTCTTTGGAAGTGCTGTAAATATAGGTGAGCTTGTCAGAGGTAGAAGAATTAACATTAAGCTATGACGTTGGGGACAAGGCAAGGGTTTCCTTCCTATTGGCAACTGCATTGAAGACAATGATGATACTCATATTGCCGTAATTAGGAAAAGTCTTAATTCAAACCTATTTTAAAGCTTCAGCACAGCCCTTTCAGGGAGAGAGCAGGGAATGATCAGCCCTCTCCCACTGCACATCTTGGGTCTTGTCACCACAGCAAAGAACAAGGTCTCCTCCTGCACTCTACGAGTGGTGTTGGACTTGGACCTGCTTCAGGTGTTGCAGAAGGCAGAGCAGAGAGGATGCTCCACGCTCCTGCTGCATTCAGCATGCTCAATTGCCTCTTCCCAAGCATCATCCATGGTGCTCCTAACCCCAGAGTTTTATCCTTATCCTCTCCTTATCTCTGGACACAAATTGGCGGCACTTTCCAGGGGATAAGAAAAGCTCTGTAGGAAAGAGCATAAATGCAGCAGCTGGGAATTGTTGGAGATGAAAAGAAACACTAACTCTGCATGTCTGGATCTGCCTGGGTGCCAGTACAAAAGCTGCAGTGAGAGCTCCACTGTCATACCGACAGTGTACCTCAGAACAGGAGGGAAACCCTTGCCTTGTCCCCAACGTCATAGCTTAATGTCAATTCTCCTACCTCTGACAAGCTCACCTATATTTTCAGCACTTCCAAAGACATTTCGTGGGGCGTTTCTGTGTAGAAAGTTTTGGGAGTCAAATTCTCTGCACATTTTTTCATTCATCATGAGTTGGTAGGAGAGTTTCTTCCTTCCACAAGACGTTGTCCAAACCCTTGGCTGTCATTCCCGTGCTTATCAGTCAGCGCGCTGCTCCTCCCTGAAGAACAGCCCATCCATTTTTCCTTCTCAACAGCACAAGACGGGAGTCGCTGCCCTGTGCCTAACTTCACCCCAGTGAGTTTACACGCGGTTCAGAGATCCTGAACATCACTTTTCTACAAATCTAAGCAAACTGCGTGGGACTTGCGTTTACTCCTAATGCCATGTTTCATCTTCATCTAGATGGGTACTTCAGAGTGCTTGCGTATTATATACCTCAGTGAAGAAAAGTGAAAAATATACATAAGGGTGCTTGTTATAGCGAAAACAACCAAAAAACACCAAACGCGGAGGGTCTTGTGCCGGTTACCGAGCTGAGGGCACCCGCCTCAGCGCCTGCCCGCGCCCCGCCGTCCCGAGGCGAGGGGCGAGCCCCGTGTGGAGCCGGAGCCGGAGCCGGAGCCGGGGCCGGGGCCGAGGCGGGGCCGCGCTGCCCTGAGCCTCCCCTCCCCGGGGCCGGTCCCGGTCCCGCCCGTCTCCCTGCATTCCCTGCTGCAGCCCCCCCGCCCCCGGCAGCCTCCTCCCCTCAATCCCAGCAGTAGCGGCGGCTCCCGGGCTCGGCTCCCCGCGCTGCGGCGGCGCTCGGCGGCGGCTCCCCCCTCCCCAGCCGCGCCGCCATGTTGGGCTGCCGCGAGCTCGGCGGCGGCTGCTGCGTGTGAGCGAGGCCGGGTCAGGCTGAGGGGAGGGCGCCGGGCTGAGGGGGACGGCGATGAGGGAGGGAGGGACGGACGGATGGTGCCCGCCGCCCCTTGGCGCAGCATCGCAGGACCGCTTGGCGATTGAACCTTCGCCTTCCCTGAAGCGCTGACAAGCCTCGGGAGCATGCCCGGTAAGCATCAGGAGCAAGAGGAGGAAAGGCAAAGCTCCCCGCGACAGCACGAAGTAATTTTTGAACGAAGTAATGCTTAAAACAGACCCCCCGATGCAAAGCGAAACAGCCATGTCTGGAGAAGTGCGCCTGAAGCAGCTGGAGCAGTTCATTCTGGATGGGCCGACCCAAAGCAACGGGCAGTGCTTCAGCGTGGAGACCTTGCTGGATATCCTCATCTGCCTGTACGATGAGTGCAATAACTCCCCGCTGAGAAGAGAGAAGAACATCCTCGAGTATCTGGAATGGGGTAAGTTGGAATAGGTTTGTTTTGGGTGCGTGTGCCCGTGTTGGTGTCTGCTTTGTCTTTGGCACTGATGGGTGAGAGGGGATTGAGTTCCTGTGAAATGTTGTCAGCTGAAGTGTATGTAAACGTGATGGCAGTGGTGCTGACAAGAGGTCCCTATTGGTTATTTGTCTTTGAGATATGTGTGTAAAATAAACCTCATGATTTTAACGTGGTTCACATCCTGGTCCATGAAGTGTATATACCCAGGTGTTGAGGTTTGTATCCTGAAGGTGGTGGGAATAGAGAAGGATGAGGGACCAATTCTGTGATATTTGGAGACCAACAGCTCAGTAGGCAATCCTCGGTCTGTTGTCTGGAGTGAAAATGGGGATAAATACTTCGTTTTCTTTAACGTAGCATCATTGCTGATTTAAGGAGGTGAAGTTGAAAATCAGAATGAAATGGTGTCCTTCTCATCCTCCATTCCATTCTCTTCCTTAGTTTTAGTGCAACATCACTGTATTTATAAGTTTTCAATGAGAACGGTTGAATGACGGCAGTCCAGTTCTTCTGAAGTTGTCACAGAACTGGCTGCCTTTATTTTTTCCTTTTGGTTCTTTTTCCTCCTTCTACATATAGCTGGCAAAGCGAAGTAGCAGTCTGCCATAAGAGCCTTGATGCTAACCCTTACTGGATGTGACCTTCAAACTTCAAGTCTTGCTGTACTTCTGTTTCCTTTCAGAACTATTTCTCACGTCTGGTTTGTAATAACTGCATCTGGAAGGCACCATTTTCTTAAAAAGCCCATTTTCCCAACATAGCAGGCATTTGATGAATGAGCTGTTTGAGTCGTGTGTAATGAAGTCACGGAGGAAAGACGTTGTTTTGATAACTGATCTGACAACACGAGGCGTGTGTGTGTTGTGTGCCTGCTCCTTGCTGGAGTCATAGTGACATCTAAAGGACATCTGACTCTGTAATTACGTTTCTTTGCTGTTCATAGTGCATTGCTTTTTGTTTTCTTCTTATTTAAGGGAATGGTCTGTAATTAATACATTCTAGCTAAGGAAGAAGTAGTAATAAAGGTACTTCTGCAGAATCTCCATACACAAAGTGTTGTGTTATACAGAAGGTATGAAAGGCTTGGAAAATACATTGGCTCGCAGGATTATTTGAATGTGAGAGTGTAATCTGTAGAGGAGTTAGCCATCTGACTAGCCTGTTCTCTGCTGTAACTGTAACCTCACCACGCATCTCTTTTCCCCAAAGGGGAACCGGTGGAAGTGGTTGATGACAAAGAGGCGAGATGTGGTTTTCAAGTCAGAATCACACCGAGCAGCGGTGGAAGCAGAAGGCTGGCAGCCAGAAGGTGTAGTTTCTGTCCTCACCTCCGTCAGTCTCAGTGCTTTCAGCTCGTATTTGTTTGTTTATTTTTTCCAACTTCCCTACTTGAGCAGTAGGGAAAATAATGCCAGTATTACCCCAGAAAGTTCTGAAAACTCTTAGTTTGAATGTAGTGTATTAATTAGTTTCTCCCGTCGGTGAAATAAAACTTAGTATATTCTGGTGGGTGTCACTTGCCGTTCTGGACTGATACGGGTTTATGCCAAACACTAACACATCTGTGTTACTGCTATGAGGAGTTGTCTTTGAATGTATTGGAATTGTTCTTGAAATGATAGGAACTTGGATGTTTGTGGATTTACAGGTGACAGAATAGAAATTTACCCCTAAGAACTGTTAATCTTCTTAAGCTTAAACTGCTTTTTTAAAAGAATGATTTTATTCTTCTTTTTTTTTAATGTCTAATACGTAGCTCTTTGGCAACCATACAGTGTTGAATGCAGTGACAAACGGTGTATTGGTACATGTCACTGGTGCAGTGTAGAGGTAGGGCTGTTTTGGTTTTGCGGAGCTTTTGGATTTCTTTTTTTTGTTAGTGGATGTATGTTTTTGTTTCAGCTGTTCTGGGTCTTAGATGTTCCATGTGTTGTTTCTTGTGAGAGTGGATGTTCATAGCACAAGGTGAATTTTTGGGTGCAGGGGGTTAGTAGCTCCCCTAGCACAGAAGAGCTGATGTGGTGTTAGTGCAATAGCCACCTGACTGCTGCTGGATTGAGAGGAACGAAGACGTTTTGTGCTGTAGGCCTTGGATCTTTTTATGACTGTTTTATGACTAGTTCTAGAAGTAGTCCTATAACAAAAAGAATATATAAATAATAAAAAGAATAAGCAGGGTAAAACAGGTGGGCATCTGCACTGGTTTTAGGTATTTTGTTTTGGGTTGCTGTTGCAAGCTAAACTCAGCAAGTGGCGAAAGTGAAGTTTCTGCCACGTGACTGCGCTTGACTTTTTGGAGGTTTTCAGTCTTTTTGAAATGCTTGAAATGACTTTGAATTATCAAGTTGATTCCTTTGTGGTTTATAGTCCGCATTGATTTTAGAAATCCTTTTTTGATGTAAAGTCATATTTACTTTACCTGTCTTTATTCCTGATTTGTTCTGTGACGTACTGCTGATTTGGTATTGTTTATCATGTGTAGGATTTTCTTTTGGAGTCCCTGCCCATGACAGGGGGTTGGAATTAGCTGATCTTTAAGGTTCATCCCAGTGCTGTTCTGTGATTCTGTGCATGTTAGATGTGAAGATGCCTGCAAAGATAGCCCATGCCTTTGAGCTCTGAGAGTTATTCAGGGAGACATTGTGAAAGGAACCAAACCCCTAGACCTGGCTTGTACATGTTTGATGGTAGTTCTCATTTTTATCTCTATTGAGAACATTTGTGATTTGGAAATGGGACTGGCTAATTTTAGTGACTGGAGCTTACTGCAAGAAGCTATTCTGTGTTCCAGGCGTTTTGCTTTTGAAATTGTGTTAACAAACTCTTAGGAGGTTAAAGTATTGAATGAGCATGGTGGAAACACATAATATTTTGCAAAGCCAGTCTTTTACCAGGGGCTTTAATTACATAGGTATGAAGGACAGTAAATCAGATCTGTCCAATTACAGGTTTTGAACAAGTTCCAGTTATCGCGGTAATACAAGCAGCATTCGAGTGCCTCAGTAACGGCTTTCTGCCTTCTTGACTCAAAATGTATTCCATGGAAATCAGGGACTTCTGTGCAGAACACTGAAGTTTGATGTCTGTATGCTTTTTCCAGTTACTCATGACCTCCTGCAGGTTCCAGAGAGCTCCCAAGCCAGAGGTTAAAGACTCGTGAGCTGGCAGACTCACCTGACCTGCTGGTGGAAGGAAGGGGGGAAAGAGAGGTGGCGCATCTTGTCGGTTTGTGTTTTGTTCGTGGCTATTATAGAGCTGAACTAAAGAAGGTTTGTAGGAACAGTCTCCAACTCTGACAGTACTCGAAGCAGTCTGCAGACACGAGTGCGGTAGTAAAGGGCTGAAGTTTTCCTCTTTGTTTTGACTCAAATAACTGGAGATACTCTGTAGTTGGAAACATTTTATCATGTATTGCTGTTGCTTGGATTTTGGACAGCATTCTCTTGTATGGTCCCAGACAAACAGATACATTCTGAGAGTTTTACTCTGGAGCTCTGGACCATTGTGGATATTCCTTTATCCAGTGGAAAAAAAAGAAGTCCAGCGAAGATGAAATAGGCAACGTTTTCAAAGAAGCATTCCCCACTGAGATCTCCCAATTTAACCCAACTGTTTTATGTGTTTATGCCCAGTGGTAGCCACTCACCCTGTACATGCAATCACAAGCTCAGCATGGCCAAGTGGGATATGTAGCTATCAATATCTGGATTATAGAATCCGGCTTTCAGGCCTTTGAGTAGCAGAAGGATCTTCTCGTGCTCTTTGGTGGCCAGGACAGCTCCATCTTCACGATTTCTTTGCCGTTAATGTTTCCTCTCTTCGTTCCTTTGCTGGTGCTTAATTACAATTGCAATTATTTAAGCACTTTCTTCTTATGTAGGTACAGGTTTCTTACGCAGCTTAAATATACTGATGTATGTAATAAGGGTACTGCAGCTGTGCTGTGGGTGAATGTACCCGATCGGTGTGTACGTTTTGTTCCTGTGAGGAAGTTTCCCAGAGGCAAGTTTTGCCAGGAAATATTCTGCCTTGCAGCTGTAATTGACTGGGCTTCACCACCGAGCCCGAGACAGGTGGGTTGACTTTTGGTTTAGTGTTGTATGGACCCAAGGTACTGGGAGAGAGGGAAAGGGATCGTGTGCCAGGTGAGTGAGTTGAGATGAGGAAAAAGGCTTGCTGCCACAACTCCGTGCATTTTAACTCTCGTTAGAACAACAAAACCTATTCCAAGAGTTCTGTGTTCTTTGTGGGTTTTGTTGGTTGGTTTTGTTTTTAAAGAAGGCTGGTGTGCTTAGCTCTTGTGTCTTTTTTAAAAATTTCATGTGTTATCGTGTGAGGCAGAATTTTCCCAGGTCAGCCACCCGACTTAAATTGTGAGATCTTGTCGAAGGCAGGAGGGAAGATGAGAGGTCCTTACAGTGCCCAAGGAATAACGTGCTGCTGGAAGAGTTCCTTCATGGGGTCAGTCACATTACAGTTAAAAACGAAAACCAGAGGAAAACACAATCAGTTGAAAGTATTATGACTAGAAACCTGAGTTAGTTTGAGTAGTTTAAATCCTTCATGTATCTGTATTTTAATATGTTCTTGATTCATAACAGGACCTTTCCTTAGGTTCTTTGAACATGCCCTTAAGATCAATGGAGAAATTGCTGCTTTCACAAGTGTGCCCTGTGTTGCATTTTTGCAGGGTAATACAAAGGTAAATAACTGTTTGGTTCAACTTTGTGTTTGCCTCAGGCCAGTCTGCCTTTACAGAAGTAAATAGCTCTTTTTACTGACTGAATCAGGCTATTTTAGCAAATGTGTGTGTCTTCTCTTGTTCCAAGTCACCTACTACGACAGCCAACTGCAAATAGTATCAGGGTAGGAGTGAGGCAAAGTGAAACTGTGTTTGCACAGTGATCAACTGAGTGAGAAGTAAACAAGGATGGTGGAAGAGATGCCTGGTTTTAAAAGTTGGGAGAAAATCTCCAAAGGCAGAGGTGATTGTGTAAGGAGAAATAGCCTTATAGAAATACAGGATCCTGTGCTCCCAGCTTCATCCTAGCCCTCCATGCTTGCTAGAGTTAGAGGGGGACAGCTAGCTCTGTGTCCTCGTGGCTCGAGCACTCCTAATAGTGTTTTCCCACATCATTGCCAGCAGTGCAGACAAACTCACAATTTAGACCCATCAGCACGGAAATCTGCATCCTCTCTGATTTATCTGCTTACTTGGGAATGGCTGGGCCATGCTGAGAGCTGAGTGCAGACCATTCGGATGAATTCCTCGTCACCCCTGGTTGTTGTTTTTTTTTTTTTTTTTTTGTGTGATGGCATAAGCCTCCCTGGCTGGGGTTTGTCTGATGCAGTATTGCAGTGGTAGGGAGTAAACCCAGCTATAGGGGCGTCTTGATTTTCCCCTGCTGGTGATTTCTGTGGCGGGTATCCTCTAATTTTGCATGAGGCAGAGGTATGCATTTGCATTTGTTCTGTTTGATCCGTGTAACTCAGTCTAATAAAAAGCATTAAGATCTGCTGACTCTTTGAAATAGTTAGCAGCTTTGTTCATGTCTCCAAGCTACCAGTCTTCCCAGGTCTGTCAGTGATCAGACGCTCATTCGATGCCTGAATGTGTAGCATGCTGATAGTTGCTCTCCATGAAGTAGTTGCTTTCCTGCAGGCCTGAGTTGCTAGTTAGATAAGACTGCTAAGGACTTGTTGGCAAAGGGGTGTTTTATAATTTTTCTCTCTTACTACTTTCCGTGTTCACAAGTGGTTACTTGGCACGAGTGTTGCACATCTATGAAGTGTTGGTTTGTTGTTTGTGTCTCCTCGCTGTCTTTTGGGGCCCAAAATATTTTTCCAGAGAATTGTGCTGTTTGGGACTGTTTTTGCAAATAACCTTCTATTTGGTGATGACTCATACATATATAAACAGGAGAAAAAAAAAAAAAGAAAAAAAAAAGAAGAACAATTAGTATGACCTTCATCAATATTGAATTGTGGATGAAATGGATAAAATGTCTTGAAAAACTAACTGGGACGTGCAGCTCTTTTGAAGCCGTGTGCAAATTCTGCCATCTCTAGTTAAGAATCACAGTGGGCAGAGAAGTCTTTTGTCTTTTTGCTGCCTCCAGTGCAAGGAAAATGTTTTATTTGTATTACTAAAACTTATCTCTAGGATAGAGTAGCAGAATGTAAATAGACAAGATAAAGCCCTTCTTCCCCTGTGCCTCCCACTCTTATACCGTAACAGTGAACTCCTTCTTGGAGGGTTTTTTCTAGTCTCAGGGCACTTCACAGTTTTGCTTATAAGCAGGATTGGGAAAAACTCATTTACTTTGTCTTTAGTATTCTCTTAAGGGTGACCTCTCTGTCATTGAGGTTGGTTTGGGCAAAAAGGTTCCTAAAGCCAGTGCTGTGAAAGAACAGTGCAGTAGTTTTGCCCCCCTGCTTAAAATCCAATGTAGTTATATTAGCTGTTAGCTACGTTTTTTGCTTTTAAATTAAAAAATGTGACTTTGCAAGAATAGCGGAAGTCACTTACTGGAAGAGAAGACGAAAGAAATGTAGATTCAGGTTTTTCTATCCTTTTCAATGGCTTTCTTATTAGCTTTGTGAGGAAATCAGGCCAATCGTGTCGATAACAGTCACCTAATGTTATTGCTGAAATAACAGCCGCCTTGTTTCTGCGGTGTTTTTAACTCTTTAGTTTTCCAAAATAGAGAGGAACGTTCTTGTCTCGTTCAAGAAACTCAGTGGTTATGCTGGGAGCTGTATCAGAAGATTTCAAGAAGAAATCTTGTCATTTACCTAACCTGTTCAAGAGCTCACGCTGCTTGTCAGAGAGGGCTCATTTTTTGCAATGGGAATTCTGTTTTCTTTTAGTGTGCCTGTGTCTACCTAAGATTTTTGTTCTAGTGAACAATTTAGTTGGCTGAATGTACTTTTTATTTCAGGAAACTGGACAAAAATTGCAGACAAAATTCCTGCATGCTGTGATATTTAAAATTAAACACTATTTGTAATCAATTGTTGAAGTTTCGTCCGTCCCCTTATTGTTTTTGTTTTTTTTTTTTTCTACCAGAAACCAATTCTGGAGATTGTCCCCAAATGAATGATTAGTGCTGCCTTGTCACCAAATTACCATACCCGTGTTTCCAGGAGATTCATGAGGACTTCCTGATACACCTTTCAAGGTTGCTCTCATCTTGTTTTAAAATAATCTTCCATTTAATTCTTCAGGTACAAATAGCTTCACAGAGGAGAACTATGAAAGACTGGAAGCTTTTCCAACTCTAAATTTCTTTGCCTCTCCTGCCATCTTGTGGGACTTCAGAGAACATTCACTGTGCTTATTGATACCTAAGATAAAGTGTTTTTTTTTTTATGGTCCCACTAACTGTTGAGCAAAGGAAACACTGAATCTAGCTGTACTCTGTCCTCTGCAACATCAGCTTGACCAGGGGTAAGTGATCTAACCCAACTCTGCTATACATGTTGCTTTACTGGCAAAATCAGGTTTGGTTGCTAGCTGTTCTTGTAGGAAGTGATTTATAGTTGTGGAAGATGGAAGATTTTCCTATGCAAATCTGAATCCAAGGCAAACTTTGACTTTCTTTGTAGAAAATGCTCCTCTAAATTTCCTCTAGTAAAAGTACCCCCCCCCCAAAAAAAAAAACACCAACAACAAACAAACAAAAACAAACGTTAAAAGTAATATTTTTGAGAGCATGCTCTATGACCAGCAGCTGAATCTCTATAAAAACCTCAGTAGAAATATTTCTTTCAATCCAAATGCAAGCTAAGAAAGCTAAGATAGACTGAGAGGTCCTTCTGTTCACTGGCTTTGAAGTAGGGCTCCTGAACAGTTTGGGAGAGCAGTGGTGGAGATGTTTGTAGATGAGCCACAACAAGATGCTGAGAAAGAGTAACTCTGGCCAGTATGGCACACTAGCTCTTCTCCTTTGATTCACCTGCTGCAGCAATCCTGTTACCTGTCCACAACAGTTATTGTAACAAAAGTTTTTCATGGATGTGATTTGTTGACGTTGTCATAACACTTCACTAATGGAGGAAGGAAATAAACTCAAAAATATCTTAAATTGTTTCAGATTACAGTTGACTCTGCACCTGTTTGTAAACATAGATTTGTAGGGTAGTCCTGGGTCTGTTATTTCAACACAGCACTGTTACCTGTAAAATCGTTCTGACTGTAGTTTTTTAGATTAAATAAACCAGGGAATCGAGTATGAGTAAACTGTAACATTGAGATTGTGTGCCTGCAAGTGCAGTCAGTAGGGCTTTATTTATTATATCTTGAACAGGATTAGAGTCCTTCAGGGTGTGTAAGTTGTTACAACTATAAGGAAAAGCGATTTTGAGCCTGATGCCTATGACCAAAGATTTTGTTAGTGCAATTCAGTGGCTTAAAATTTTATGTAAAATGTTTGAGATCAACTTTTAATCTTCGAGCTTAAACTTTAACATTCAGATCTCATCTTCATCATGCCATAGTTAGCACTAAAGTAAACATGTGTGAGAAGTCCATCTTTGTTAACCAAAGGTTTTAATCTAGCAGGACAAGGAAGAACCAGTATGCATCTTCCAGGTAGCAGCACATATTTCTGAGGCCTAAACAGAAATAAATCATTGATGTTAACCAGACCTGCAGAGTCCATAGTGATGACTGTTAGGTTGTGTACATCATCTGTTGAAAAGGAACAAACCTTGAGGTGGAATTTCTGAAGATTGGAGAGAAAAAAAGTAAGATTTAACTGCAGAAGAGCCAATGTAGCACTTAGGAAGGGCTCTGGCTACCTTCTAGGAATATGCAAAATATCAACTAGGAAGTATATATTCAAATCAATGCAGCTTAACCACAAGATACTGTTTCTGCAAGGGCTTTCATTTCCTTTTTTTTCTCTGATTTGGCTGTGAACCAAGGGCAATTCAGCTATGGCCTATCATGCTGCAAAGAGATATTTCATCAGCATCACTTTCCAACTATTAGGCAAACAAATTTGGAGGTTAAAATTACAAACAAGGGTTTACAAAGGTTGCACAATTGCTAATGCCTGGAGTACTGTGTGTAACTGCCCAGTTCCACAGCCTTTTGTGAAGGCTACCAAGGTTTTGCAATTTCTACAAGTGGTCTTTTAATAAGGTCCAAAGTCAAACCTTCAAAGGAGATGGGAACATTTATGGAAGTAACACTCTTTGTGATGGGAGTGTTCCAAGTGTTAAGCTCTGGAGTAGAATTTCTTTGCAGGACAATTCCTGCTGGACTGCCCTGCTTATTTCAAGGCAGTTCTCACTGTCTAGGAAGAATTATGAGACGTCAGGGCTGGGGACTGACTCCCTTTTCCCTGAATTTATGTATGTCAGCAGATGATATTCTGCAATAACAACACTGGACCAAATGATTTACTGATAAATGGGAATATAGGACTGCAACAGAAGTCCTAGACGATAGTGGGTAATATCTGGAAAATATAGTCAACTGAAAGGTTTGCAGGACAGTGGAATGATGAGCTCTCGCTGCTCTCAGGGCTCTTTCCTTCTGCCTGTTGCTAGATCAGCTAGTGGACTCATGGAATTTCTGTGTATGTAAAGCAGTGAACATAAGAAAAGTTGTCTTTCATCTGTGTTCCACCACAGATGGGAGTCTGAGAGTTGGAGATAAAGTCATGGGAATTTGCTTAATTTAGCTCTGCAACATTGCAAAGCTCAGAGTCTGTTTTTTGGTAAACAATGGAGAACTCTTTATTTTTCTTATGACACTGGAATAAATGAAATTCCAAGATACCAGTTTTAGCTGAAAAGCTGTAATACAAATTTCAAAAAATTAATTAGAAGATGTATTTTAAAGTGGTAGAAATAGTGGATGATTTTGTCAATTAAGAAAAAAAAAAGTAAACCAAGAAAGTCCCCTAGCCCAGACGCTGTAAAAATGGGAATACTTATCTCTGAGGATGGGGATTTCCCATCTATGGGGATAATTATTTATCATATATTCCCACTCTATGGAGATTTACTGACCTCAACCTCAGGGAAGTCAGTGGTGATAAATGATTCAAGAAATTTTCTGACTGGGTCTGGTTGTCCCACCAGAAGGATTTACTGTGGGTTCTTTATCCTTACAGTTGTGTTCTCAGCCTCTTCACTGTGTACCTAGGCTTCTTAGGAAATGGTACAGGGCTAAGAAATTGAGAATAGAAGTGATAAGGTAAATCTAACCTAAGCATAAAGGTCTACATGGGGAAGCTTAGCTGTGCCAGAAACACTTTCTGGGGCATTTAGGTTATATTATGGAAATAAGAGTGTACTAAAAAAACAAACCAAAACAAAAAAAAACAACTATAGAAGGAGACCAGTAACTTCGCCAGAGGATGGGAAATTGAGAAAGTGGTGAAGAAGGTAATGGGCAACTAGATCATCGGTGGCCCATAAAGTATCAGGGCTTAAATTAACTAATGAAACACTGAAGGTAACTGGGACAGAAGGGACTGGGATAACACTGCCACCTTTTTGGAGACTCTAAACTGAGACTAGAGGATAAAACAATCACTGGGCAATTCTTGTACGCACTCGAGGCAGGGACTAATTTGTTGGGAAGGGATTTGATGCTGAAATCGGGTATTCAAATAATAAATTGTCAGACTGGAATAACAGTTTCAATGAAGTTATTGACAGAAGATGATGAAAAAGAAATAGACCCCATAGTGTGGGTCAAGGAAGGAAATAGAGGAGGAATTAATATCGCTCCCCTGAGGATAGATTTGCAGGAAGGATATGAGGCAATAAAGCTTAAGCAATACCCTATCTTAACTGAGGGACAAATTAGTCTTTAATCAGTCCTTTTATCTCTGATTTAAGATAAATTATTGGAGCCATGCAAGTCTCCCTTTAACACTCCTGCCCTTTTGGTGTAAGGAAGGCTGCTGGTTCTTGCCAGCTGGTACAGGATCTATGAAAAATTAATGGGGTAGTGTGGAAGCACCACCCTGTGGATCCAAATCCATGATGAGCAAGATCCCACATGAGCATAAGTGGTTCACTGTGACAGATTGAAAAGATGCCTTTTGGGCCTGTCCAGTGGGCCCTGTGAGCAGAAACATATTTGCCTTCGAGAGTTAAGACCCTGAA